GTACAAATTCTAAAATTAATCCCCTGCTGCTCATAAACATCAGAAAATAAGCTATTTTCCGTATAACTTAGATGTGAATGCTTGGATTAGCAAACTTTGAGTAAAGGTCCCAATTTGGTTTCCATGTAAACATATAGGCTTGAAAAAATTTCCTTTTTTTTCCTCAGCAATTTTCCTAAAACTAACAGCAAAAAGAAATTTGCTTCAAAGAGGAATCATCAACTTTTGTCTTGAGAGTAAAGCTGATTTTAAATAAAAAAATTTCTTTTTTTCTATCCAAGAACAATTGAAGACCTATGTCGTTCATTATGAAATAACCTAGTAATGCACCGATATGAAAATATGGGCCGATGTTAATATCCAGGGTTAACATAGTTGATACACCTCCCTACAGTTTGGACATCATGAAAGACCAACTAAACAGACAACACAGCGCTCATTTCTTCCCCCTTCTGAGCTCAAAACAGCAAGTTTATGGAAATAAACACTGGTTGTTAATATCTACCTGGTTTTACTTATTTAGATATACTTAAAAAAATCCCTAAATTGGCCCACATAGATTTCCACATAGATGGCGATACATCATTTATACCTAAAATTAAACTTCAACATCATCAAAGAACAAAAGTTAAAAACAGTAAGTTGCAGGTTGAACAAAAAGGTTTTCAGATTTGGGCCTCAATAGGATTTACAGTTTCCTCCCTTTTTAGAAAATGTTTTTAGGTCTTTTTTCCAGCAAAAAACCCATAAGAATGAGGGATGTGCTGATGCCATTTATTTTATTTGTGATAGAATATCGCAACTTTGAGTGTTGACTGATACAGATACTTATCCACCATGTCAGCATGAATCATACATCCTTCTATTACTTATTTTAACGCATAGAATGACAGGTTTGATCAAGTGATATGATTCAAAAAGCAAACTTATGAGCTATGAGAAAACCTGACCGCTTTGTTATTCACCTAAGAATTACATAAACTTTAAACAAAGCAGATAGAAGAAAAGTGTTGCTATGAGTTCTCCAATATCAGACAGTTTAGAGGCAGATCGATATATTCTGATATTTTATTGGCTGAATATCCGATCAGTAGATCTTTAACAAGATTACAGACAGAGCAAGGTGAAAGGCACAGAGTTTGAGGTCTGGTTACTACCATGTTCAACTGGAAATACGAAGCTTTCTATTAGCAAAAATATTAATTTCTCTGTGTAAAGGGTCCTTAAACTGCTCATCTGCATCATATCCATGAGTTTCAACAATCCAAAAAGTCAAATTAAGGAAATCTCTGACATATATAAAAGTACTGCAGAGATGTGATGATAATTTCATTCCCAAATGTTTACTTTGAAGTTCCTGTTAACCCTTTATTGTCTGAGTTATTATTTAAGATAACGAGGAAATAAACGCCACCCTGCAGCCAGCGAGTCAAAACAGAGATTAAACGTGGTCTGCAAGGTCAACCTGTTATATAGCAGCTTCATAGAAAACCGCCAGTAATTTAATGTGCCCTACTGCATGTGATATGTTAGCTACTGGAAGTTTAAAAAGAATATTCTGAGGGTTATGTTGCAGCAAAAAAAAGCAAGTTTTTGTTCAAAAATTTCTATTTAAATTATGCTATAATTGCTCTATAATAGGCTAAACATGTGGAAACAAAGTCCTACATGATGAAACTCCTAATTTTCAACTAGCAGTTATATATTATACCATCCGCTGCTCTGTGATCCATCAAAAGCACTTCAAAGGATTTAAATGAAAGAAAGAAAAACACAGAAGGGGTTTAAAACACTTGCACAAAGATATAGACCTTATCCCACATCAGCAGAGAGCTGCACTGTTGGTGAAATTGTCCAATTAAAGCAGCGGCAGTCCTTATAAATGAAGCATACCTTGTGTGGTTGCTCCTATGATCCACAGCAGACACAGCGGGAGGCCCGGTCCACACATCTCACCAGTTCACACGCCTGACCCAGTCAGTTTCACATCTATTCTGCAGCTGCAAAACACAAACAGTCAGTGAGCCACAACCACAGCCTAACTCTGTGTGGTAGACCTCGACTCAGCTGTGACCATCAACAAAAAGCTAACGGATCACATGAAACAGGCTGTGGGGCAGAGGTCCAGTTTCGTCACTTTAAGCAGAATATTTTCAGCTGCCTCTAATAAAACATCCACCTTCTGTATAATAAAAGACAACAGCTTCTTCTTTACTCTTTCACTTTAGTTGTTGTTAGAGATGCTTCCACGTTACCACGGCGATGAGGATCATCACCTGGGGTCTAATGGAGGTTTAACATGTGAATCCTCAGCAGGCGCCCGGGTTTGGTTAACCCATAATTACCCAAAAGCTCAAAACAAGCAGCCACCTCAACAGTCTAGACAGCATCAAAGGCTGGGGTTTCAAAATCGATGCATAGAAGAAATTACAGAGGCAGAGATGAGGAAATACAGGGTGGTGAGACATTAATCACAGCCTGATGGAGGGTGTGTTTGTAAGCCCAGTAAGCTGCCAGTAAAAACCTGAAGGATGTAGCCAGACCAGGTCCAGAGTCACAGCTTAATAGTAGTTTTTAATGGCTTCAAACAAGGATCCTGCTCCCTGTTGGGAAGCATTAGTGCTACAAAACCTCCTCTGTTCACAGCTTTAAAGGAACCAATCTGACCCTTCCAATCAGCTGCCAGGGGCCCAATGAAAACCATTGTAGAATTATTGGAAATGATTGTAGAGGATGACTTTTAAGGGATTTTTTTTTTTTTTAGCGTTTTGAGGCCTATTGGGGGCAAAAGTAGACAAAAAAAAAAAAAAAAAAAAAAAAAAAAAAAAAAAAAAAAAAAAAGAGTTTTTTAAATTTAATGTACCGGTAGTCAACTTATTATCCAGATGTTTTTCCAGATGGTTTCAGGTGTTTCAAAAGGATTTTTTTGACGTATTTACAAGAATATTCGTTTAAAAAAAAAAAAAACAATTTAACCTTATATTTACACCACAATTCAACATTTTTTGTTCCCAAAACCTATTTTCAAAACAAACAAAAAAAAATTTGTAAAGCTTAAATAAAAAGGTACTAATAACATGAACATTATTGGCGAGCGATAGTTTTTTTCCCCCTTCAGGAAATAAAATACAATTTAAGTGAATAAAGTATAACTATAGAGAAAAAATGGTAATATTTCCCCAGCCCTTTATACGTCACCGGTGTTCCGCTGACCATCACCTAAGCAGGTGCGTTTAATTAGTTTCAACTTTTGAAGTCGCTAAACTATGTAGTTTCACTTTAAACTAGTGTTAACGGGCATTAAACTTTAAATTCATTGGTTTTAAAGGTTGAAATCATTAAACTCACCTTGTAAAAGCAGATATAGTTCTCCTTTTAAAGCAAACGGTATCTCCCTGATGCTCTCCGCTCCCCGTTCAGCGCTCAAATGAAGAAATGAAGCGCTCAGTTCACTCATTTAACTGGGAGCTGCTTTAACGCAACCAGAGAAACAGCGACACTTGGTGGCCACAGTCTGTAACTGCGTCTCAACTCATAATTGACAATTAGATTTTTATATATATATATATATATATATATATATATATATATATATTAGATTCAGATTTGTCATTTTGTTTACACAAGTGTAAAACAAAAATACCTTTCATTTAGAACAGCTCTTTGGACAATTTCCTTTCTTTTTTTTTAAGTGCAGCCTTGAAAAATAGTAAATAAATGAATAAATATAAAAACAGTAATATAAACAAATGACTGTAAATTTACAGTTCTAACATTTAATTTTTTTTTTTTGACAAAGCTATCTGAAGAAATAAAAAAATAAATAAAAACAATATACCAAAGTACCTTCTCGCCATAAAAATATGATTTGGCTGCTGCTGAATCTCATCCATTTTCCTTTATAAGAATACTCACTCCAAACATGTCTGTGGCAATGGATCTTTTTTTTAAACCATATTCCTATAGGGAAGATATTTTTTGTGGAACTAATTTACTTATTTATGTACAACAATAGGAAGACTGTGACTCTGGATGCTAAGGCGTCCTCCACGTATGGGATTTAACTGTTTAAGGGATGCGTAGCTTCAGCAGGTTCATTTTCTGTCATAAATGTTCATAAATTACTTAAACATTGTATCTGCTTAAAAACAACACAGTGGCCAGTAGGTTTCTATCAAAATAGCTTTTTGACGGATTAACACATATAGTTTATTAATAATGTAATGAATTTGAACTGCACATGTTTTTATATTTAAAGGGAATTTATTATATTTGAGAATATTTCCAGTTTAGGGTTTTGCTTGAGGACTGGTCTAAAATTGCTTTAGAATCTATAAGATCAATAAAGGATGAAAAATTCCTCTCATTTTTGCATAAAAAAGTGATTAAATTGTTATCAACTGTCAGAGCTGTTAAAAACCCAGCCAAACGACCACCAAATCGTTCTTCTTTATTGCTCAAAAGCTTATAACTCCTTAGGTTTTTGATAATATACAGGTTTACAGTATGGATTACAATGTTTTCGTCACCTTTAATGCCTGAATTTGTTTCTTATAACTAAACCCTGCTATGTCTTTACCAACATTTGACCTTTTTTTTTTGAAGATTTTTGACTTATTGTCAGGCACATGTACCTGACCATAACAACAAACTCCTGCAATACTAGATCCATTTAGAAAGTGGAAAATTTGAGTGAAATACATATAATGTAAAATAAAAAAGTTACATTAAAATGTCTGCAAGTTTTATGAATATCCTTTAATATCCTCTAACCAACAATTATTGTCTTGTATCAGGATATTTATTAAAGAAAAAAAAAATTGGAGCACTATTCACCAGTCACTATTCTCTTCCAGCTATTTTAATTATTCAGAAAAGTTTGAGGCGAGTTGTTCTTTGCACTTCCTCTCAGCTTTAATCATAAAAGTTTTACAACTTGGATTTGGTCAAGCATTTTTTTTTCTCTGCAGCTGTGTTCAAACTAATAACAGCCCTACACCACTCATCACAGATTTAGATTTTTTTTATTTGTAGTTTCATTCAGTGATGACATTATGCTGATTCTGTGCAATTAAAAGACTAGGTACCAAATTTATTTACTAAGGCAGAAAATCAAACTCTCCTCTCAGCTTTTGTAAAAAAGCATGTTCTCTAAAGAAAAGGGGTCAAAGGTAACTCAGAGAGAGAAAAGTCAGATTACAGTTTGCAAAAAACATGTTGGAACAAACACAGTCATTCATTTGTTATGCACGTCCTTTAGGTCTGAAAAAAGTAAAGTGTTTTGGTGCTATGACCATCTGTGCATTTGGAGGAAGAAGCTTCCAACTCCGAGAATGGCATCCCAACAGAGATGACAGAGTCATGTTACGTTTTGCTAAATAATAGACTCAGTAACTTCAATTAGGCCTATAATTACTTTCCAGCAGGGGTCACCAACGCAGTGCCCATGGGCACCAAGGAGCCACATGGGGGGCCCTCGGCATCTACTGAAAAAAGAACAACTCATGAAGTAGCCCTCAACCTTAAAAAGCTTGGTGACCCCTGATTTACAGTAAAGTAAATCGATTTGTAGAGCACACTACAGCAATAAGCAATTCAAAGTGCTTTACATCATTAAAGCAGAAGAAATGTGCAGTAAAAAGATTGTAAACATTAATCACACACACAGAAAATCATTAAAATCTTAAATATAGCATGGTCATGAAAAATATGACAAAATATTAATGCAAATTTCAATATTAATGCAAAACATCAGCTGGAAAGCCTGGATAAAGATTGAGTCTTCCAATATGAAGGCTTTCTTATTTGTTGCCTGCTGTTATTTAAAAAGTGGCTTCAGAGAAACAAATAGTTTTTGGTAACCATCAGCTATAAATTCAGTGAAAATAAACCTGTCTGATCCAGTTAGCAGTGAGTAATGTGTATCATATAGGCCATATTTTCCTTTCCAATTCTTCATCTGATTGGACAGATTACATTGTCCCTGTTTATATCTTATAATAAGTTGTATTTGAAAATACTCTTGTTCACATGGCGCTTTTGTCTGTTCAGGAGAAGGAAATTGTGATTTTCTTTCCTCCTGGTTCAAAGGTCTTAGAGCAAATTCCAATAACTGACCTCTGTTTTTATTGGACGTCACTTTCTATGTCTGCGCCCTGTCTTTCTCTTTCGGTACCTTTGAAGTGAGGGTTATAAAAACATATAGTCCAATCATAGTGAAGTGCAACCCAAGTGATTTGAACTTTAGGCGGGATATACTGAGCTGAAAGGTGGTATTCCGATGTTAAATGACAAGTATATTTATCTATTTATACCTTAGAGCCTGTGATATTTTTCTACAGGCATGCCTCCCTTTCTGGTTTATGCATCTTATTCACATTCAAACATTGGAAGCATGGGGAACTCGGCTGGGCTGTTTTTCTTTATCCTGCCGGGAATCTTCATTAAAAGTAAGTTAATTCAGGTAATTGTTTTAAATTTAAACTAACTAAATAAAGCTAAATCAGGTCTTGTTGCTTAATATTTGCTGATATTTTAAAAGGCTGATGGCTGAAATAGTTTCTTAGTAGAAGCAGGTTATTTCTCTTACAGCATATATACATTTCATACTATTACAACCACAAAAACAAAAGATGATGAAGGAAATTTATGTTTTTTTTTCTTTTTTTTATCTAAATCTGTGGCATGCATAGGTGTTGTGGGGTGTGTGGGGAATGCAACACCAATATTTGTCTTACTTGCATTCAAAGTGGGCTGACCTGACTATTAAATAGCAAGCTTTATGTGAGACAGATCTGTCTTTGCAGCAGTAGCATCTGCAAAAGTG